TTTTAGTTTCTAAAGAAAAATTCCCTGCTGCAGGCGGATGGGGCAGGCACTGAGGCTGGGGAGGAAAATCCAAGATGGCTGCATGGCTGCACCCCTGGCTTGTGCGAGCCCCACTGATGCTGAAAGCTGTGGGCAAGAACCTGGCACAGCAGCAGGGCCGTGTCCCCGCTCCCACTTTGCAAACCTGCTCCTGCCCAGTGTATCCTCCTGGGTGATCACCCAACAAAGCATCAGCAGACGCGTGGAGAGAAAACATGCAACCTATTCACAGGAATTGTTTCCATTAAAAGCTGCCAGTGCAGACCAGAAAGACCTTAGCTGGTTTTATCTGAGGATCCCCTACAAGGTCACGAAGCACAAGCTTAGATGAGCTGAAGATTCCCAATTTTTCAAAGATAAAAATGTAAGTACCAAACAAACTATAAGAAATATAAAGAAATACATAAGTATTAGATAAAATTTTCTGTTATACTGTAAAATAACTGCTTTGTGATTCAGTGCCCAGCTTCAAGTTCTCCTGCTTTTTGGTGGTCTCACCTCTGGTAGGTTTGGGGAGGGTCTGGCCAGAGCTGCCACCATGCACCCCATGTCAGGGGACAGCATTCAGCTGCTGGGAAAGGCTAGCAGGAAAAGGCACCCTGAGAGAAGGGGCCATGCTGACACCGCTGCATGCAACAGCTCTTGGAGTGGCGGGAAACAGGATGGATGCTGGCAGTGATGCGCACCGGCTGCGCAGTGTGGCACCAGCAAAACAGGATATGGTTATGCTCTGAAAGGTGTTTTTGAAACAAAACGTCTATCTGTACAGTAAATACACTCGCTGCCCCAAGCCCAGGCCATGCTTTCTTATAAATAGGCTGGCTTCTGCAGAAATGAAAGTGCAAAACTGAGCATCCATCACATGTTTGATTAGATAAAGAAAAGAAGATCATCTCAGAGCCCAGGTACTGTGTAGCCATGGGGGGTTGGTACTGCATTATCCTTGGGACTAGCATCAGTTTTGTTGTCTATTAGTTGTGCCCAAACTGTCTCCCTTGTCCCTGTGAAAAGCAGGGGGGTGCCAGGGTCACACAGGGAAAGGTTGGTGCTGCAGGGCCTGGGGACTGCCAGGTTTTATATCACAGGATTTTGGGGTTAGGTGGAGGAAATAAAGGGGGTTTTAAACCTTTATATCACAATAGCAAAAACACCCTGCAAAGCCCGAGAGCACACAGCAGAAGCAGCTGCCAGGAGGCACTGGCAAGCACAGGGGAAGTTCTGCATCCCAGATCCTGCTGCAATTAG